TACTGCGGACCACTTTCTCCTCCTATGGCTACACCTGTCTCTTCCGGGTAAGCGTATGGCTATTATGTGAGAAATAATTAATTAAATAATGGATTTAGTTTATAAAGATTCTATTTATGCTAGGTAATTAATTATCTCGTTTTTGTTTAGCTTACTTTAGACCCGTTAGCCCAGGCAACAATTTGTGCATATTGATACTGGGTACTATTATCACAATCCAAATATTTTACTTCATTAAGCGGTGGATTTTTCAATACATGTAGTTTTATGTGATGCACCTTGGTCATATAAATTAATTTATAGATTTATAGCAAAATATTTTGCTCGTTTGATTGAAATAATTTTTATTTATTTTTAAGATGCTAAATATTTTGTACCAGTTCACTATTTCCAGACTGAATAATGGGCTCGTATTTAATGATATGATGTTTATCGTGGAATTCCTTTGGCAGTAAATGCACTGAACATTTCCAGCAGTTGTGGTTCACTTGTACTGGCTCATTATCTTGTAGGAAGTCATATATTGTTGCATTTTTCAGATCGGGTGCCATGTGATCCGGAATATCCATGAGTCTTATGGGCCTTATGCCGTGTATATTGGCATTCATATCGATCCTTGTTATGAGGGGTTGACTACCGGTGACGTACACTATATTTGTTGTGCCGTCCTTTTCACATAAACTTTAATTTTAAGACATTTAATAGAAATGAGTTTTAATTCATATTTACCTCAATTATGTAGTCTATGGGATCGCATGTATTGAACGCGCGTTGAAATGCAAAACTCAGTCGATTTGACACTTTGCTAGCATTCAAGAGATGACAATCGTTATGGTTGTCCACATAACCCATGCTATCACTGTCCACGTGTATGTCCTTTAAGAGTATATACAATCTTTAAAGAATAATCATTTTGACATAATTTACCAGTAAATTAAACTTGAATTCAGTGTCTGTCCATAAGATACACATATCGGAGCCGTTGATATCTCCTTCATCTGAGAAGCCGATGGCAAACCAGTCTTTACTCGTAGCTAACAGTGCTTCCACTCGAATGGTGACAGAGTTGTGGTCATACGACCAGTACATGTGATACTTATTCTGGTCATCCAATGATACATTAAATGTATGATCACTCACATCCTGGTTAGTATTTTCTGAATGAACACCACTTTTATAAAGTTTTAGTACAGATATAAAAATTATTAATGTAAAATATTTGATCATATTTTATAAGAAATAAGGACCAAGTTTATAGTTCCTACTAATATGGTATAAATTTATTTATTTTTTATAACATAAATAAGAAATATTTTAAAGTTTTAAACTAACATTATTAAATGTTGATACTTAATAGGATTTAGCTCTAAAATTATTATTTACACAATAAGTTATGCGACACTTATTTTTGAGACCATATGTTAAACAATGTTTTGTTTGACAATAGGTATGCTATGCTTTAGTATCAAAAGTATTGTGTTAATTTTTATATTGTAAAAGATTTCCCAAACAATTTGCTTTATTATACGATGAAATGATTTTTAAAAGTTGTTTTGTTAATAAAAATCTTGCAAATATTTCTTATTGTATTATAATTTATACGAAAACTTAATATTTAAATAAATGTTAAGCAAAGAGGCATTGAAATTGCTATAAATATAGTTTTAATAGTTTTGTTTTTCTATTTGTATGTTTACACCTGAATGTCAATCATCATTGAAATACAAATTCCTGTTAACTTCATTCAAAACATTTGTATCCTTTTGAATATTTTATTTATAATTTGTGTATTTAATGTAATTTTATAAATATCCTTAATGATAGACAAATATTGTCTGTGTAACTCATAATTAAGTTAAATAACATATTGTTTTAATGCACACATTCATTTGTTTCATTTATCAGCAAGTTATAGGGATTAAAATTTTTATATTCAAGTATTTATAATAAAAATGACTGACTTTATTAGTTACATTTTAATCAAGTATTTTATTGTATTTAAATGTATTCTGTCATTTTTATTTATTATAAGTTATTTTGTGAATTGCAATATAAATTCAAATGATTGCCATGATTATAGGGACTTCACTAATGAGTTTGCCATTTGCCTTAAGAATAATAACTGTAATGAAAGTGTAGCTAAAACTGTGGCCAATAAATATGGATTTGAATTCATAGGACAGGTATTAATAGACTTTATGTAATTTTATATTAAAATTTTTTTTTATATCTAAACATTAATAGATCGGTTCAATTGATTGTCACTTTTTGTTACGATTGAAACACATATCCAAACGATCGGTTGATTATTCACATTCACACCACTCATTATTGGCCAGGGATTCAAATGTCAGACAATTTATTTATAAAATTTTTTTGTAATTCTAAAAAAATAATTTCAATTTGTAAACATATTTGTACTAGGTGGTTTGGGTAGAGCAACAACAGATCAGACATCGTTACAAAAGATATAATCCAGATCATATTCATATCAAACAACCAGCTTTTAATGGATCAATGAGTGATCCATTATTTAAGGATATGTGGTATTTAGTTAGTAGTCTCCAGAATATTCTACTAAACTATTTTATATTATTTTAGTATTTTTACTATTTTATATTTGTTTATTTTATACTACATGAACAATATTCTTGAACAGAATTATAAAAGAAATTTAATACTATTTTTAATTTTACAGAATAAAGGAGCAATTGGTGGACATGACATGAATGTAAAAGGAGCATGGCAATTGTAATTTTCTTAATGTGATAGACTAATTAGTAATTGCTTAATTAAAAATTGTATTTTAGAGGTTATACAGGCAAAGGGGTTGTCGTAACCATAGTTGATGATGGCTTACAGAGAGATCACCCTGATCTTATCAAAAATTATGTCAGTTTAAATACTAACTAATCTAAATATTATTTTAATAATGCTATTTAAATAGAACGCAAAAGCGAGCTATGACTACAATGATAATGATCCAGATCCTTATCCAACAGATGATGGCGATAATGAGTGAGTGAACAATATTTTGATACGATTGGGTACTGTATTTTGTACAAGTATATTTTTATANAATATAGACCTGATACGCCTGACCATTCAATTGAGTGCATGTCTCTACAATCGGGGGCCTATTATCGAGTAACTCTTGTGGAGTATATTTCAAATTCTGTGTCATATAATCAATATATGGCTGCACCTCATTGACAACCCATCGAATGTTAGTAGCAGGGTAATAATGAAAAAAGGTGCTGCACATCATTTCGGCAGCTACTGGCTTTTCTAACGTAAAAGTGGTTATAAATTTGCATTACTATCAAAATATTATAAATCCATTTTTGTATGAATATCACTCACTAGTTGTGTCATAACGGCACGTATGAATGAGCACATCCCCGGGCAGCACAGTTACCCTGTGTTTCAAGTTCCATATATCAAGGTACTGATGATTACAGTGGTTGTCCCTGTTAAATTCTGTCAACTCAGTGCCGTTACGTACATGTTGAGTCCACACCCGGGTACGTTTTTGGTGTGTATGCAACTGCTGCGCGAATATCGTGATTCCCTGTGCTGGAAATGCTAGCAATGAGCACTGGGAGGTCACGAAAACACTTAAATCTACTGCCGTCCGGTTAACAGGGAGGTTGTCGTATTCACTCCAATGGTTCATACCTTAAAATTTTGAGATATAATTATAATCATACTTTGCCGACACATCAAGGTAATACCTATTTTAAGTAGGCCCGCGTCATATTTTCTGAGCTTATTGGTTACATATAGACGTAGACCTGAGCTGTCGCGTAAACCGGGTATTTGTGCCATATTGTGGTAATGGATATCTAATAACAGATACTGCGGACCACTTTCTCCTCCTATGGCTACACCTGTCTCTTCCGGGTAAGCGTATGGCTATTATGTGAGAAATAATTAATTAAATAATGGATTTAGTTTATAAAGATTCTATTTATGCTAGGTAACTAATTATCNTACTGCGGACCACTTTCTCCTCCTATGGCTACACCTGTCTCTTCCGGGTAAGCGTATGGCTATTATGTGAGAAATAATTAATTAAATAATGGATTTAGTTTATAAAGATTCTATTTATGCTAGGTAACTAATTATCTCGTTTTTGTTTAGCTTACTTTAGACCCGTTAGCCCAGGCAACAATTTGTGCATGTTGATACTGGGTACCATTATCACAATCCAAATATTTTACTTCATTAAGCGGTGGATTTTTCAATACATGTAGTTTTATGTGATGCACCTGGTCATATAAATTAATTTATAGATTTATAGCAAAATATTTTGCTCGTTTGATTGAAATAATTTTTATTTATTTTTAAGATGCTAAATATTTTGTACCAGTTCACTATTTCCAGACTGTATAATGGGCTCGTATTTAATGATATGATGCTTATCATGGAATTCCTTTGGCAGTAAATGCACTGAACATTTCCAGCAGTTGTGGTTCACTTGAACTGGCTCATTACCTTGTAGGAAGTCATATATTTTCGCATTTTTCAGATCCGGTGCCATGTGATCCGGAATATCCATGAGTCTTATGGGCCTTAAGCCGTGTATATTGGCATTCATATCGATTCTTGTTATAAGGGGTTGACTACCGGTGGCGTACACTATATTTGTTGTGCCGTCCTTTTCACATAAACTTTAATTTTAAGACATTTATAATAGAAATGATTTTTAATTCATATTTACCTCAATTATGTAGTCTATTGGATCGCATGTATTGAACGCGCGTTGAAATGCAAAACTCAGTCGATTTGACACTTTGCTAGCATTCAAGAGATGACAATCGTTATGGTTGTCCACATAACCCATGCTATCACTGTCCACGTGTATGT